AAATGATTTTCTGATGAAGGGTCTAGGCCCGAAACGTCAGCCTTCCTGCTCCTATGATGCTGCTTGGCCTGCTGTGTTCATCCAGCTCTACACCTTGTTATCTCAGTTCAAGCTCAGTCTTGAGCGCAAATTTTACCTCAATGCCCGAAACATGATTAAATGATGCAATGAGTTGTTCCTGATTCCAAGATTGACCTTGCCGGACTTCTCATGCAATTCTGCCATATTTCTCACCATAGCCTATGTCATTCAGGCCCCTAAGATTCTGTCCATACCCCTTGTTTCCTGCCCTCTTGCACCCTTTCTTTCTCTTTATCTATTGCTCACACTCTTCCTCCCTCTCACTTACTGCCTACTCACTCAGTCCCATCTCTCACTCTCCCTCTTTCATGATCTTAAAACTATCCTCTGAAATGACCCTACTCAGTTTAAGGGACTGTTGATGATGAGCACTAAATGCTGACCCAGTCAGCAATGCCTACATCCCAGAAATGAATAAAACAATAACTCACCCTCCGTCCACGAGACTTGAATATTTTTGTGCCTTAGACTTTGTAGTATGTTTTCAATCTGTAACTGTTACCCCGGGCACGGTTGGTGCCACTGTTACTCCTTGGCCTCCACTGACTGTGCCACCATATTGTGTTCTCTCGGAGGACTGAGGACCAGAGTAGAAGTGCTAATGGAGAGGTCATGTGAGAATGTAATCCACAGAAGAGGAAATTTGTGGCAAACTAGGTGAAAGTGAAACTGGCAAGGTTAAATGGATATATCGTTTCTACTTTATTAACAGTGCTGTAGTAAACCTACATTTAAGGACTTGCTGTAATTAATTCAAGCACATTAGATCCAATTGGTTGAGACGGAAGACAACATGAAAACTTGTTTCAGAATGCATTCCACACAAGTTGAATTCATTAAATCCAAGGAGCTGCATTCAGCAAACAATGACTGAATCCAAGGGAGACTTTGCACCATTTACAATGAGGAAAAAATAAGCTAAACGATTCAGCCCACATTGGAACTGAAAATTGCTGCTGTAGGAAAAGTGAGACACCTCCCACATATTCTTTTCAAAACGGAAAGTTACATTCAGAATTGCTGAGAAGATGCCAAAAATGTTATCATGCAAATAGAGATGAAGAGAATGGACCCAATTAAAATAAGAACAAGGAAGTAAGCATCAGCTGATCCAAATTTGGAATGCATATTAAAACCGTAAGAACTAACAAGGTGACAACGGCCATTTATTAGCAAGAAATATTCTGATTTGTAATTATCCCCTGGGATGCACATTTATGATCATTAGTCAGGAAATAAATTCTCGTAGCAGTTCACGATACATTCTCTCAGAGTGGGAATCTTCATTGCACCTCAGTGACATTAGAGTGCAACCTTATGTGTTCACTGAAACATTATGCAGGAGCACAAATGTATTGAGACAGTCTCTTAAAACATTTGTCCAGTCCATTTGTAGAAAATATTACAAAGTTTGCTTCTAAAGTGCAAGAAAGAAAAACAGCAAATTCTGAAAATAGGTATTTCGGCTTTTCAGAAGTAAAAAGTGAACTAACCATTGGGCAAAGCCTCCCATTTCTACCCTGGGCGATGCTAGTAAAAATATTAACCTATGTTCTCTGGTAGAGCTATGTTTGTTCAGCATTTTCTATGATTACTGGTTGGCTTGCTATGATATTGCTCATAATGGGAGGACAGGTTCCATTGTATTCATCTTCGAAATAGAGAAGGGGATCTCTTGCATCAAAGCAGTTACTGCTAAACTCAAATACTTAACAATTGTGCAATGCAATGAAGGTTTAAGAGCTGGTAGAATAAAGTTTTATTCACTTTCTTCTTCAATGTGGACTAGGACAGAATTGGAATTGAGTTGCAGATGTAAAGTGTAGCAATATACTTTATTTCATACATTAAGAATGTCCCTTGTAATTGGTTATCTCATCTGAAAACTCCCTTGAGCATGTTCAGAAGTAGGAGTCACTTCCCACTCTCGCTATCACATAACTTAACTAGCTTTCTTGCATGTCTGCGCAGGAACTTCAGTAGGAAGCATATGGAGGCTCCTAAACCATTCAATTGGTATAACATCTGTAGGTTAGCCATCAGTAAGTGATTTAAAAACCTCTGTATGCATGGACGTTTTGGATTTTTGGAAGAATTTGCGCTGTTTTCCTATTTACTGTGTCATTTTACCTGTTCGAGGAGGAGTTCAACCCCAGCTACTATTGTCAATTCTTAACCAGCATTTGCCATTTCATTCTGATAGTTTTCTGAAAATTAAAATCATTTTTTTTCCAAAATATAAGATTCAAAATCGACATGTGTAGAAGGGAAGTTAGAAAGGAAAAGGGCTTGGAGCCCCAAAAGGCTACAAGAGACAATTAGTGTGCTGATTTAATGAAACCTTGACAATAAAAGGAAGAAGATTAGAATCTAAAAATGAAGCAGAATACATACCTAAATTGAAACAAAGAACTGTGAATGCTGGAAATCTGAAACAAAAACAGAAATTGTTGGAGATACTCTGCAGATCTGGCAGTATCTGTGGAGAGAAAGGAGGTTAACATTTTGGGTCGAGTGACCCTTCTTGAGAACTGGTGCAGTGGTAATATCACTGGTCTAATAATCTAGAACTCCAGACTAATGGTCTGGGATCATAAGTTTGAATTCTATTATTGCAGACAGTGAAATTTCCATTTAACAAAAATATGTAATTAAAGTCTGGCTTGATGGTAACCAGGTAACCACTGGTTGTTTAAAAAAAAATGGTCCACTAATGTACTGTAGGGAAGGAACTTATCCTTCTTACCTCGTCTGGCTTCCATGTGATTCCAGGCCCATGGCAATGCAGTTAACTTCCCTCAGAAATGGCTCAGCATGCTACTTATTGTAGGGCAATTAGGAGTGGGCAATAAATGTCTACTAGCTTAACCAGTGCGGACCACATTCCATGAACCAATAAAAAAAACTTGTTAATGATGATATTTGTACAAGTGTACATTGGTGGATGGGTAATGAAGCAACGTATTGTTGAAAGAAATAAGGAAAACTGCAGACATTTGCTCATAAATGATTTTTTTCTCAGCTGGAATATCACAGGGATCGGTTAAAATGATTTTTCCCTGTTTATATTTGTCAACATGTATATTTAAATAACCATATCTGTTGCCAAAGCTTTTAATTTATTTGTGTAAAATTGATGTAACAGTCACTAAGCAAGAATCGTGATTATCTCCCCATAGCCCTACCAGACCTAGGTCTGCTGTCATTAGAGAGAAACAACTGGTGGTGAGGACTATGCCTCAAGTAAGGGCAGAGATTGAGAAGGAGAGTTCTTTGTTGAACCCATGCTGTTCACATCACTCTGCATCACAAACCAACCATCCATCCAGCCAGCTGAGCTAACCAACCTGACTCTCACAATGTGGGAATCTTGGTTTTAGTATTGATTAAGGCATCATAAATGATAAGAAATCTGACCAAATAAATGTACGGAGGGTTCACGATCAAGCATTGATTTTATAGCTAATTTTGTAAATTCTAGTGTTGGTGATCCACACATTCAACCACATCAACCAGTACTTGAAGCACTTAACATCACCAAGATTCTGTGTGAGTTTTAGAACATCCACCAAGACATGTATTACTACTTTGTAGAACAGTGTGATAGTGGACAGTAATGTTGGATAAGGTTTGCAAGGATCCTCTCTGTCTTTTGATAGGCTCGGTTGTAAATATTATGTGCAAAAATTTCTAAGGGTTTTTGATAAGTGGAACACAGTAAAATTCACTATACTTCTTCATCTACAGGAATGGTCTCCTACTCACAACCTGAGGAGTTTGCGTAGAAAACAGTTAGCAGTCCGAGAAGCCATGGCCAGACAAACTGTTGGTTCCGATGCAGAAGCCAGTAACATTGAGTCGCCCATGATCAGGTAACTTAGAAAGGGATGATTGGATACTGCTGACATTGGTTAGTTTGTTGTTGCAACACTCTTCTAGTATGGGTTATAGTGGGGTAGCAGATAGGGGCCAGAAAAGGACACTGCTTTGTCAGCATGCCTGTGCCTATTCACATAATCTGTGTATAACACTAGTGAACTTCTGAAACAAAATTTCTCTCCTCAGTGAAAGCATCTTTGTCAACTGTTCTTGTGGCAGAATGGTATCTTGCTAGGTAAAAAATGAAGGGCGATCAGATTAATTTTGATTCCCTCTGATTCTGGTTTATCACTTTTCTTCATTTATATAAGGAATGATGGTCCCAGTGTGTACTTTTTTCAAGTGATTTGTCATTTAAGTCAATTAACTCATGCATCATATATCAGTATGAAAGAAAAGACCAAGCTATATTGATTATGAATTGAATAAACCTGATATTTTACTTTTCCAGTTTGCTGCAGGAAGCAGAAAGTAAAGCTGAAATTAGTCATAACATTTCTGCACGTGAGCACTTTATATTTACTGACAACGATGGACAGGTCTTCCATCTCACTGTAGAAGGAAACTTGGTGAAGGACGGGGCCAGAATTCCTCCAGATGTAAGTACAATGAAGGATAGTTCCCGCTGTGAACTAATGGATTTGTTTTGCATACCAGCTGAAGTGCAATCAAATTGTACAACCTACCAAATGGCCTGTGAGTAGAAATGACAATTAACCACCTGGTGCAAATAAAGCATGTGCAAAATCTTTTTCTTTTATTAATAGCAATACGTAGATAATTTGAATTAGTTGATTGATTTAGAATCAATTAATAGTATTGAGTGAATTTAGATTTTTAGTTTTTTATAATTGAAATAAAAAGTGCATATTAAATATAGAGATGCAGTGCTGGGTTAATATTCTCCTAAATACAGCCATAAGAATTAAGAGCAGGAGTAGCTGACTTGACCGCTCAGGCCTGCTCTGCCTTTCATTAAGATTAGGGTGGATCTAACTGATCTCCGTTTCCACCTAGCTCTGATAATCTTTTGCTCCCTTGTCAAGAATCTATCTACCTCTGCCTTGAAAATATTAAAGGATGCAACTTCCACTGCCTTTTGAGGAAGAGAATTACAAAAGCTCTCAACATTATGCGACAAAAGATTTTTACATAACTGTTTTAAATAGGAGACTCCTTATTTTGCTGTAGTGACCCCTAGTGACTCCCCCACAAAATGAAGCATTCTTCCACAGGCAACCTGCCAAGACCCCTCAGAATTTCATGTTTCAATCAAGTTGCCTCCTACTCTTCTAAACTCCAGTAGATAAAGGCTAGCCTGTCTAACTTTTCCTCAAATGAGCTTTTACTATCCGCAATAACCTTTGATATGGCATCTCATCAAGTGCCATCTGGAAATCCAGACGCAGTACACCTAAAATTCAGGGTGCCACAGTGTGAATGATGAATGAACTGAAAAAAATTATAATACAATGTAATCATTGCTGGTTTTCTGAAGTTGGGTATAAAGTTGGACTGAAGGGCCTATTTCTGTGCTATATGACACTATGACTCTATAATTCTTACTAGACAGATCAGAGCTGTTATTCATCATTCCACTGCAAGTTTTGTCCTGCTAATACTTTTGTTGTATCTCGAGGGAGCAATTGCTAAGTAAGAAATCCTGCAGTGCGTGGTGACTAGCTTGGGCTGAGTGGGGTCTTTGCTTGTTTGAATCTTGATGTTGTGTTCAGTTCTGTGCTGGGTTTTGCTTTCCAGTTTAATACTGTTGAGTTCCACCATTCAAAATTGATTTGATGTTTGGAAGCTGTTTTCAGCACTTTTATTTGATTAAGTATTTGGTCACCATTGAGGAAACACTGCTATAAGAATTGACCTTTAAAAGAAGCAGCCCGACCAAGTTCAAATAGTCAAAACTCAGTGACAGAAAAATATAATTGAAATTAGAAGTGAAATAAATCAACTTCAAAAGACTGAGTTGCAAGGGCTTTGCTGAACCAGTGCTTTCAGTACTGACTGTATCAAGAAAGACATCCTTTAGATCTTTCCACAAAAACAGAAGTTGCTGAAAAAGCTCAGCAGGTCGAGCAACATCTGTGAAGAAATATCAGAGGTAACATTTTGGGTCCGGGAACCCTTTCTCAGAACACCTGATTTTTCCAGCAACTTCTGTTTTTGTTCCTGATTTACAGTATCTGCAGTTCTTTCGGTTTTTCTTCAGATCTCTCCTCTTTGTTGACTATGTTAATTCTTGGATTAATTTCAACATTGGCATACACCAAATCACAATTTTATTTGGAATTAAGTGGTTAAGTTTTTCTGGTCTACTGTGGTGAAGTTAGGTTCAGTATATGATTTCAAACAAAATCCGTTGTGTTTTTACTGAAAGGTTCGCCATGTTTTCTTGCTGTCACCCCATTTTAAAGTCTTAGAATTTGGGCGTTGCCAAGATGTTAAATGTGGATGTTGGTGGTGGCTTCAATTGCTGAGTGGGGCCTGTGAGGCTGACTTTCAGCTGCTGAGTAAGGCAGGGTGAGGAGAAGTCGTGTCATAGAGTAATACAGCGCGGAAACAGACTTTTCAGTCCAACTCATCCGTGCTGACCAGACGTCCCAATCTACCTAGTCCCATTTGCCAGCATTTGGCCCATATCACTCTAAACCCTTCCTATTCATATACCTATCCAGATGCCTTTTAAATATTGTAATTGTACCCGCCTCCACCACTTCCTCTGGCAGCTCATTCCATACACGCACCATCCTCTGCGTGAAAAAGTTACCTGTCGGGTCCTTTTTGAATCTTTCCCCTATAAACTTATCTCCTCGAGTGTTGGACTCTCCCAACTAGAAAAAACACCTTGGCTATTCACCCTATCCATGCCCCTCATGATTGTATAAGGTCATCCCTCAGTCTCTGATGTTCCAGGAAAAAATTGCCCCAGCTATTCAGCCTCTCCTTGTAGCTGAAACCCTCCAGTCCCAGCATCATCTTTGTAAATGTTTTCTGCACCTTGTCAAGTTCGACTTGAGAGGGTGCAGAATTGTACGCGATATTCCAAAAGTGGGCTCACCCATGTCTCGTATAGCCACAACATAACATTCCAATTCCTATACTCATTGTTCTGACCAATGAAGGCAAGTGTGCCAAAGTCCTTCTTTACCACCCTGTCTACCTGAGACTCCACTTTCCAAGAACTATGCACCTGCACCCCAATGTCTCTTTGTTGGCAATGCTCCCGAGACCCCTACCATTAACTGTATAGGCCCTGCCTTGGTTTGCCTTACCAAAATGCAACACCCCACATTTATCTAAATTAAACCCCAACTGCCATTCCTTTGCCCATTGGTCCCATTGTACCCTGAGATAATCATCTTCACTGTCGACTTCACCATCTATTTTGGTGTCATCTGCAAATTTACTAACCATATCTCCTATCTTCACCTTTAATTTATTTATATAAATGATGATAAACAGTGGACTCAGCGCTGATCCTTATGCCACACCACTGGTCACAGGCCTCCAGTTCAGAGAACAACCCTCCACCACCATTCTCTGTCTCCTGCCTTCAAGCCAACTTTCTATCCAATTGGCTAGCTCCCCCACCGGATCCCATGTGATCTAACCTTACTAACTAGTCTACCATGCAGAACCTTGTTGAACGCTTTGCAGAAGTCCACACAGACAACATCGACCGCTCTGCCGCCTTCAATCTTCTTTGTCACCTCTTCAAAAAACTCAAGCAAGTTAGTGAGACACGATTTCCCATGCATGCTGACTATCCCCGATCAGTCCTTGCCTTTCCAAATGCACATAAATCTTGTCCCTCAGAATCCCCTCCAATAACTTACCCACCACTGATGTAAGGCTCACTGGTCTATAGTTCCCTGGCTTTTCCTTACAGCCTTTCTGAAATAATGGCACCACATTAGCCAAACGCCAGTCTTCTGGCATGTCACTCATGGCTATTGATGATACAAATATCTCACCAAAGAGTAAGTAGCAGGAGTGATGAGCATGGAGAGCAAGAGCAAAAACTGGAATTTTTAAGAAAGGAAACACCTTTTGGTGGGCTTTTTTTTTTCAGTAATATTTAAGACTCAAAGATCTGTCCATTACATCATGCCCACCATTACAAAAAATCCAAAGATTTAATAGGATCCATTACTGATCAGTCCAAATTCCACAGCAGCCAATACTCCCACACATCTTGCAAGCCTAAAATCCCTGTGTGTCAACCTATAGGAGTTGTGATCCACCGAGTTCAAAACCCTGGCTTGCAAGCTGAATAATTGTTAAGTAATAATTCAGTTTTTGAATGTACTGCTATAAACTACCTCAGCACTTGTATACTGCTATCTTCAGCAATGTTATTTGTAACTACCACCACCTTCCCAGGGGCAACTTTGGATAGGCAATAAATGCTGACTTGGTTGTTGAAGCCCCTCATGTCCCATGAATGAATAAAAATGTACTTATCAGGCTGAAATGCTTCATATCATGATTAGCTGCTTGTTTCTTTACAGTATAATTAATTGCAAAACATCAACAAGTTCCCAGGATGTTTTTAATGAATTGCTGTTACATTTGTAGATATCTCTCTGTATAAAAACATACACTTGCAACCTGCTTTTGACATGCAGCACTTGGGTTTCTGTATAAGAAATGCTTAATGCCAAACTCTTCACTGTATAGTATTCACCGCATTCATTTTGTGCAATGTGTAGCATTTTTGTTAGATGCTGATGTTTCAGAGATCCATGCTTGATATGTGAATTTATGAATTAATGCATTATTTGAAAATAAGCTTCATTGGAAAGTTTAATTCCATTTAAATGCATTAGTACAGATATTACTAATGGGCTTCACCTTCATATTTTTGAAGCGGCTGCCTGATATGACCAGCATAATTGTACCTTGAATGTGAATGACTCTGGGATTCATTACTATTGCTATTAATTATTGCATGGTTGCGTTCTGTTTTTTATGTCTGTGCTGTGTTCCATGATTGATTGAGAAAATGTTGATGTGTAAATCAGCATCTCATTTGAAATAACTTTCTCAATCTCGTAGTGGGTAGCTGCCAAGTTACCATGCCAAATGTTGCACAATTAAAGTGATCTGAGAAAACACTGGGAATCCTTGAGTGTAGCTTTGGTAATAATCCCAATGATCTTAACTTGCTAAGATGTATTAAACTTTGTTAGAGGCCTTTTGTGTATCTAAGCAAAGTTAAAAGTTTCTCTCCAAGTAATAAGATATATTCCCTTATGTGTGAAGTAAATAAATCCTTTCAATTTAAAAAAAAGTTTTTTAATTTTAAAATGTACTGCAGACCGTGCTTAAATAAAGCTGTCTTTAAGCTAAAATCCCACAGTACACAAGTGCTGATGCAATGTGGTCAACACATGATTGATTTCAACAGAAATTACTCCAGATTCTGTAAACTATCTAAACCAGCAGAAATCGTAAGTTTAACTTTTACAGTGTGTTTGCAGTATATGTACCAAAATGCTGCTGTAATATGTTTTTGTTTTCTATTTAATGTGTTGAAATGAAATTGCAGGGAAGCATGGGAACCATTACATCCCTTGCTTGGAAAGCAGACTACCTAATACTAGGTGATGTTGATGGGAATGTGAACTTCTGGGATTTAAAAGCTCGAGTTTCAAGGTAAAAGATCTTAAACAATCTGGGATGTTGCATTTTGTAATAAAACATTTGACTATCCTAAGACGGTCTGGTGTTCTGGCATTTTAATGTTTGAGATTCTGTAGCGTTGGTTTGAAGATTAACTTTTGGAGTTTGTGGTTGGCTTAAGGCACAAACTATTTGGATACAAATCTCAGCTACATCATTGTTGTACTATGTGTTGACCTTATATCTAGAAAAAGATGAGATGTTGAGCTCATTATTAAATTTCTTACACTGCATTAGAATTTGATAGGATTCCATTTATTGCTGTATTTGTTTAATAGAGGAATTCCCACTCATCGTGGATGTGTAAAGAAGATCCGGTTTGCTCCTGGAAAGGGAAACCTGAAGCTGCTGATCATGTTTAATGATGGGGCAGAAGTTTGGGAGACCATAGAGGTAATAAAGCTGTAGATTAATCTTCCCCTATTCCTGTTAGAAGGTGCTTCTTATGATTAAAGTGTACATTGTGCCATTTAAGTTCTAACTTGCAATGTTTCCTATATTGTCATTAAATTATGTTAAACTTCTCTCACTTTTTCACATTGTCACATTATTGATTTAATCAAATGCATATTGTGGGATAAAAATAATTAAATAACTAACTGCATTTAAAAAAGTATAATTAATTAATTTACAATATTCTGTTTTAAGGTTCAGATGGTAAGCAGCATAAGGACTGGCCGAAATATCAACTACAAGATTCTTGATATCGATTGGTGCAGCTCTGATAAAGTGGTTCTAGCTTCAGATGATGGCTGTATCCGAGTCCTGGAAGTTGCAATGAAATCAGCAAGTTACAGAATAGATGAACAAAACTTAACAGGTGTGAATATGCATATAAGTGTGTAAGTATATTGTGACTGTGTCCTGCGTAGCTGTTAAAAGGTCTGATCAAATATTGTTGTGGTAATTTTTCTTTCAAAAGGATTGAATTATATTTGATAAATGTATACATGTGTCAGTTTGTACTGCAGATTTTGTTGAATTTAATGGAAAGCTCAATCAGTAAATAGAAATAGTACAGCTAGAAAAATATAATTTCTGAGAAATAATGAACAGCAATTTCATATTTTCCTTCCTCAGGTCCTGAACATTATTGTTATCCATCCCCTTGCTCATCTTAGTTATCTCCTACTGTTTGAGGCCCATCAATTTTGCTTCACATCTAGAGCACTAATCCCAAATCACAAGCAACATTCTTTGTTCACCAAAATTAATCTTTCCGTATACTTCTCATATCTACAATTTTCAGGGTAGAACATAAGGAGTGAGGTCTCATTTCATCATTGACCCTCCTACATTCAATATCAACTTGTTGTCCATGATTGACATTAGTTGTACAACCAGTATCCATATGTGTGCCAACAACATAGAACATGGAACAGTACAGCACAGTACAGGCCCTTCAGCCCACAATGTTGTGCTGAACTTTTACCCTAAACCTAAGGTCTATCTAACCTCCACCCCTACCTTATACTATCATCCATATGCCTATCTAATAGCTGCTTAAATGCCCCTAATGAGGCCGACTCCACTACCCTCTCTGGCAATGCATTCCACACCCCTATCACACTCTGAGTAAAGAACTTATCTTTGACATCTCCCCTATATCTGCCTCCACTCTCTTTAAAGCTACGCCCCCTCGTAATAGCTACCTCCACCCTAGGAAAAACAGCTCTCCTATTAAGCAACCCTGATTCCAATATCAAGCTACAGAACTTTGTACAGACAACTTCTACAAGTTGTAAGGCTTAACTTTGTTAAGCCAGAACTTTATACAGTTCACTTGAAGTCGTCCTATTTGGCCTTGATCAGAATCTCTGCAACTAGGCATCTGATGCTGCCTGTCACCCTGAGTGCCCATTTAGGTCTAACTTGAGCAGGGCTTCAAAGCTAAATCCAATCCATCACTCTTGCCACTTCTACCTCTGTATCCTTTCTTGGTGCCATTTCTGCTGAAACAATTATTCATGCCTTTGCTACCTGTGGACTGTACATTTCCAATGTGATCTTTGTAACTTTGAGGAAGAAGGAAACCCATCTTCTTAAATCATACGTTTAAATCTTATGGTTAGTTACTGTGGTATTTAGTCACTGGAGTGTGTTCACAAGAGGCTGTAGATGTTTTCCAACAGCAGAACGCAAGTTTATTCGACAAAATTTTAAAAAGGCAAAGCAATGTAAGTCAGTTAGGACGCTCTTAAAACAAATAACAAAAAAACTTACTCAAGCTATCTTTTTACAAGTACTGAATTCTAGAGAAATTTCACTCCTATACCAATTCTAACTGACTCTTTTCAGTCTCTTTCATTAGATTGTGAAGACAATTTTATGATTCTTTTCTGAAACCACTTACAAAAACCTTGCACAATTCTGATGTCCACCCTATGTTCTATGTTGTTGGCACACATATGGATACTGGTTGTACAATTAATGTCAATCATGGACAGCAAATGTTAGAACATTTTCAGTTCTAACAACTTGAAGATTTCAAATCAAACTTTCCTGGCTTGCAAACTTCACAGAATAAAGTCACTTCGGCTATGGTGATTGGAACCCTCAACTTGCTTCTCCTGTTGAGAGAAACTTTTCGCCCTTGTGAACTGAGACCCTGAATTGTCTACTCTTGTAGTCAAAACTTAACGAATGGCATTCTGTTCGGATGTAAAAATAATGAATATATAAAAAGTCCATCCATTAACACTACAGGGGTCTCACAGGCACCTGACTGCAGTCACAAGCTTTATTGAAATTGATACTTTCAGGCCACTGTTTAAATGTTTTCCTGACCATTTTTTAAAAACAAATTACCTTCACAAGGTACATCAATCTGACTGTATTTTAAAAACCAGATACCAAAATGGATGAAATAAGTTTATGGTTGTCTCCTTGGATGTGGTAAATTTTGATAATAACTGACCTATCCCATTCACTGTGTCTGAAATAGGTTTGATGTGCCTCAAGTCTAATGTGTAGTCAGCGGCCTGTTTCCTCAGTGTGAATGAGTCTGCAACCTGTAAATTACTAGTTTATTTAAATATGTTTTCATGTTTTTGTGGCTATGAAGGATGGAGTGGACCTTCTTAGGTGACATTTGTTAGACTTCTGTGTCAGCTAACTTGACTATATATTCTAATCTGTGCAAGATGGAAGCGCTATACCAGAGACACACACTTGTTTCTGTGCAAGTAGTGGTTAACTAGTGGGCATGCAATAATCTTATGTGAGGGGAATCCATTGAATTGAAGTGCAGACATAATATAACAATGTCCTTTATTATAGATGTGTTTCTTCATTGATGGAGTAAGCTTTTCTAAGAAGGGTATTGGAAACTGATTGGAGGGTGAAGGCATTGTGAAAAGACTGGTACTTCAAGTATTTGTAGTAATGAGTGTACTTGCAGTAAATTTAATACCACTATGAGATTCAAAATAATATAGAAAGTTATTGTTCTGTCTCCATGGTATAATTAAGATATGGATGTTGACTGTTATCACGTTGTCGGAAACTATGACGTTCTTTCCTATAATGTTGCCCTGTGACAGAAGGTAATTGACATATTGAAGCCAGGGTTTAGGTTGAAAGAGTGAAAGTTAATGTCGTCATACTTCCAGGAGACTAAAGCCTACTGTTTCATTAGAGAGAGTCAACAGCTGGTGAGTTTAACCTGAGAGTCATTACACCTCAGGCAAGGGATGAGGTTGAGAAGCTGGGCTTTCATGGTAAGCTCTGTCAATATGTTAATTAAACCCAAAGCAACGGCACCACTCTATCACAACCAACCATCAAACCATCTGAGCTAACTGACCTCCATTTTAGGTTAAAAAAGAGCTGATTGAAGTGCTACTTGTTAAACTCTTAAATAAAGACCTTATTGATTGGTTACACTGAAGTTCCCATAGTAGCACTGTTTGTTTGTTTGGAGTAGGAGCCCTATAACTGGAATGGTGCTGAGTGTAGGCAAATCAGTAGAAGATCATAAATTTGATCCAGTGGTATTGCAGTTCCTTTGGTTAAGGCAAAGTTATCTTTCAAACATTTGATGTTATGACGAGCTTCTGGGCTCAGTATTTTGGTGACTAGTTACTTGACAGCAAAACTGACTGTTCTGTTCGTTAAGTGGCATATAGTTTGCTATATCTTCTTAATGAAATGTCTAGAACAAAATCCTGTCCATATTCCCTTCATCCAATATATAGAACTATCTGATCCAGTTATTTCTCCAGGTGATGGCATATGCTGTACAAAATCTTGAGGGCCATAAAATTCCCAAAGGAACTCTTAAGTTTAATAACAGCTGTTTTCAAAGCAAAATTTTACATGGTAGAAAAGTATTCCTTAATTTACTGCTATCAGTATGGAAACTTCAGACACCCATTTTAAATTTTATTAAATGTGATGTGTTTTTAAGTGATAGTTGCTGTCTTTCTAGACCTGACCATTAAATATATGTTGCAATCAAACTAACTTTATTTTAAGTTAGCAAAAGTTTGGCATCACAATCTGCAAATTAGCAAAACAATCTGTAATAGCTATGCACCTTTATAGTCCAATATTCAGAATTAACATAAGGTAAAAATGGGTAATACTAGCTGCGGTTGAATACCCTACGGAGCGCATCAAGTGGCAAATGCAGCCAAAACTAATCTCTCAAATTTCTGAGCAGCCTTCTAGAAGTTGATGGTACTATGGATCATCAAATCTTATTTAAACTTTACTAGGGATTCCAATTCCTCTCTTTTGAAGACCTATATTTGGAACTGCTTTAAAAACCGTTCTGTTACAGACTGCCTCAATAACTGCGCATGTCCTGTAAGTTTACTCTCCTAATGCTGCACATCTCTCTGTTCTTAAGATTGCACAACCCTGGTCCCCTTCCCTAGTAATCCTGATCCATCTTTCTTATTATTACTTGATTGTGGATCAATGTTCCATGTATGTTACCTCTGCTGAGAAAATAACTGCTTCAGGTCTCGTACTGAGCTCCTAGTATTATCGCTTTGACTTCATTGTTTCCTTTCTTCATTTTTTAGTTGAAGTGCTCCTCTTGTGTTTATGGGCTATGAGTTAATAAGTACCTTTTTTAAATAATGAAGATAAAATGTGTATAAATCATTGATTCATTTATTATATAAGGTGCCAAAGAATCTATATTTTTGCACAGAATTTAATTGAGCAGATGTTAGAACTTGGTGTTAAGGTGCTGCAGATTTCTGTCAAAAGGTAATGGAAGATTGTGATAGTGCAACATTTTAAATGCATCTGTAAAGACTTATTTTCCTCCGCGTTAAGTACTCAAAATAAACACTGAACCTAAGTGGTGTTACTTGCAGACTATCAAATTGCTTTGACTCAATCAAACATAATTTTATGGGGACGGACAATTAATACTGGCATAATAGTGACATCTACATCCTATGAATGAATTTAAAATAAGTCATTCTTCCATGTACTTGCAATTATGGTTTTTAGTTGACAGTTATTGCAGTGTACACAATCATAAATTATTCCTTGACATTTTTGACTAAGCAACTAAATTACCATTCTTTATGATTGGTAAGTGTCAAAGTGCTATTGCAATTTCGTTATTTTTGTTTGCAAATAATGCACACTTGACCATAATTACTGACACAAATAGTAATCCATTTATACCCGAGATTGGCAGTCTGATGATTGTTAATTCTCATCATATTACATTAATGATTCTTCTTATGTGCAGCCTCAACTCCACCTACTGATGGAATCCTACCACCACAGCAAACATTTTCCATTATTTTTCTGTTCATTCTTCTCAGGTCTAGGATAGAAGCAGTTGGTTACACTTAAATGGAGAAGTATGTTTATGCTGCAGATTTTATCAACATTTCCAGCACAGTAATGAAAATCTCTCTCTTTCTCCCCTCTGACTGTTGTAGTATTTGAATGAAATTGGAACATTTGTAAAACATTTTTCTGTTGTTTAACTTCTGTAAAGTTCCTCATAAAAACCATAGAATTTTTTTTAGCTTTTGTATTTTAACATTAGATGTTTTAATGGTAAACTTCTTTTGTTCTAAATGTAATATTTTCACTGTTCCCAATCTATTTTCTCCTTTTACTGTTTTGATTTGTTTTGCATGAAATGCTATGAGCAGCTGTTTTTATGTGTGCACTCAGTTCTCTTAAAATCTGATTAAATACTGTTTTTATTCAAAAGGCATTCTTGCTAAACCTCAACTCTTGGTCTTCTGGCTGAGACTTGTCACTTGCTGTTTTTCCAGTATGCTCAACAGAGTGGACATCTTTACATTACTACATGTTGAAATGTCCTTTTGATGTTATTTCTTTATTTCACATGTATTTTACATACCAGAATTGCTTCTATTTTAAGCTTACATGCTCACCTTACCCCTTCCTTTGTTCATTGTTAGTACTGCCTCAGATTATTACAGTCAGTTTTAGTACCTTCTGCACTTTCTTCCTTATATTTCACGATGACTTGCTGCTCTTCTAACAAGAACTTGGTTCCTATTGCCCTCCTAACTTGACATAACTTCCAGTGAAACTTTCACAGATTAATAATTACATGGGTAATGGCTTTGCAACTAATTAAGGTCGTGTTTTAGTGAGAATTTTGAGATCTTTGTATCATGTACAGAATAGTTACCTTATTTTCAATTATTTCTTGGCATAGATCTACTTTGGTGCCCCTACCTCCTCCTTCCCAGATCTTGTCTTGCATTGAAAGCTTTCCTATTGCACCAGCCATGGAATGGGCAACATTCCCTGGATATTATGAATATGTAAGTACATACTAATTCTAACCTTTTCATTTGAAACCTGGGATGTCAATATCTTATGTGACCTTGCAATTGTGCATTGCATGTGCAGCAATGCACGTTGCTGTGAGCATTCTTACTAATAATGACTAAGAATTTTCACTGAATATGTGGCATCCTATTGTTAAAGTCACTAAGATCTGGTAATTTCTGCATAGCATAATTTATATAAAATTTAAATTCATGTTCAACTGCTGTTTGTTGCTGAAATAGTAGTAATGTGTGTTGAATAGTAGATATTAACTCTCTTTATTTTCTGCAGTCGTTATTTAGAAAGTGAAGAGGTAAAATTACTTATGGTGGAGCAGTTGAACTCAATATTGAAGTAAGTTGAACTTTACTTAAAAAAAAATCATTTAGGATAGATGAAACGGTGTATCTTGTGTTGTTTAAAATGTGATCCTTAGCGTTTATTGGTATGTCAGAAATTCCATCCTTTTGTATTTTCCTTTTATTTACTATTGGGTGACCAACCATAATTGCCCTTGAGACCGTGGTAGAAGAAACAACTTTGTTGAACTGCTGGGATCCTATGTGGTACAGGTGCTCCCATGGTACTGTTATCGAGGTAGTTCCAATTTAAACCTGGCAACAATATTTGTGACCTATTTCCAAGAGCTGAGTGACTTATAATAAACTTTCAGGTGATGATGTCATGCACCTTCTGTCCTTGTCTTTCTTGATAGTACATGTGCATATGTTCCTCCAATCTGATTGTAAATGCTTGTGTAATATATGCTGATTAATGCTGTCTGTTTCCTTCACAGTGACATTCAGTGTCTTCTTCTAGACCCAGAGTTCCAACTGGTGCAGAGATGCTCACTTGTAGCGAGGTAACTAAGACTAATTGACATCAGTTAGATTCCTGCCATCTTCAGCCCTGCCCACCAAACAATCTACACACATACAAAAAAGCAATAGTCAAGATAATCAATTGCATCTCGGCTGACCCTGACCATAGCTGTTATTCTTCTTCTTGCACCTTGACCTTGAATAGAATTCCACAAATTTTATGGCAGAGAAACACGCCAAGTGGCACAACTGTTCTGTGCTAGTCTTCTGTACGAATCCACTGGCCCCATATCTGTTTGTTTAACTTTATCAGAATAATCCTCTATTGTTTTCTCCCTCATGTGTCTGTATAGATTCCTCTGAATGCACTAGTGTTATTTAACTCTAGGTAATAAAGTTCCTTCTGAATTCCCCACTATAGTGCTTCCCAAACTTTTCCTCTGGGTGACCCCATTTTAGCCCCTCAGACTTTGTATGGCCCTCAAGTGAGAATTCGGTGGGTGTGAGAGCTGTTTTGTTGGGAGATAAAGTTTCATTTGTAGATTGGGAAGTGATAGCCTTAACTCTTGATTGTTTGCAGGCATTATTTTGCAGCAGAAATCTCGCCTCCGAGCAGTCAATTAGACCATGCCCACTATTAAAAAAAATGAGAATTTAAAGGGGTCCCGTAGCAGGCAGAGCTCAGTCTGAGTTCCACATCATTGCCTTTGAGCTCACGAGCCTAAAATTTCATCATCTGACCCCACTGGAATTGTGAACATTTGTGAAGTCTGGCCTTACTGCATTTGTTTGTGACATCATTTATTAATGTCCTCTAGTTTTGAATCAAGTGGCCAGCACATACTTTCTTTCTCTCTCTCTGACTCTTCTTTAGTGTGGAATTTGTATCCTTTTTTATAACATGACCAGACTGTTTATAGTACTCTTAATAGGACTTTGTAAGATTCTATCTAAGTTTAATAAATTTTCACTTTTTTGTTTTTGTCCCTTTAGAAATGAGCCCTAGTGTTTTGTTAGCCTTTTTACAGCTTTATTAATTTTGTGTCCAACAAGCAAAGATGAAATTAATGTTCAATTTTACTTTTGTATGGTGTTGGTTAAACAGGAGAAATGCCCTAATTTCTTTGGTACTGTACAGTGGGACCTACCCAATGTGCAATAAATAGGTTAATGGTACCTTGTTTCAAGCATCACCACTCCAGAACACTATTGTCATTGCACCACTTCTGCAGTTTCAGCCTGGATCAATGCTCAAGTGCTGTAATGCAGTTTGAATCTGTCGACTTTACAGCAAACTTTCAAACGGACCCAGAGAAGGCCGAAGATAGCTTATCCTCACATTGCATGTCTTTAATTAGGACAGAATCTCATCACTGTGGAAGGGAATACTGTTGCCAACATTTTGATTTTTGCAGTGTCTGTAACTCTGGCTGGTTGCCACTTGATCCATCTGATGTTGATTGTTATCCTTCTCTACTGTGGCCCATCGGCATTTAAAACATCAGGGTTTCAGGCAATATGGAAATTTTATTGTCTTCCCCGCCAGCATGTTCACATACACATCACAGAGTACAAAATTCCCAGCTACAGCCATTGACCCTTCAGATGCGCAACCAGTCAGTTTACGTTGCAAGCACTCGTTTACGCAATTTAAACTGACATCAACAGACACAGCACTCTTCCATGCATGCGGATGTAACGCCATCTCCCCCCATTTGCAGACCAAACACTCACCTACGTCTCAGGATCAAAAACCCTCCACTGTAATATTGTTATGTCTGCAATATCTGAACTTGCCTCTCGTAGTATTTTGACCTTAAGACTGTTCTCCCTTCAAAGGCATCCTGTGTTTTTCTCCTACTTGTCAGTCTCCCTCCTGCTCAGTAATGACTGAGCATCCGCCATTCTCTAAGGTGTTCTAAGATCGGGATTCTGAACCTTTTTGCTTCTGATGCCTCAAGTGCAGTTTCACAGAAACTTCACAGATCCCAAGTACAAGTAGTTTTTCTTTAATCAATCATGTATTGTTTTACATACTTAATGTGATGCTTGTTGCTGGTGATGAGCAGTATTTTGTATTCCACATCTGGAAACATTCAGCATGTTAGTTGGAAGAGAGAAACAGAGTTAATAGTTCAGGTCAATGACTTTTCATCAGAACTGTTAATCAACTCACCAGATAAATCTACTAAGTGTTTTTCAACATTTTGTGCTCTTGATTTCATATTTCCAACATCCAAAGTATTATGCTTGGTTGTCTTAACCTGTTTTAATGCGGAATATTAAGAGCATAATAAAACATCCCATACTTGCCTCTCCACAGGCAGAGTTATTACAGAATGGTTGCAGCACAGAAGGCTATTTGGCCTGTCATGTCTATGCCACTGTCTTTATGAGCAACTCACTAATTGCACTCTCCTACTTTTGCCTGTAGCCCTGCAAATTATCTCTCTCCAGAAAATTATCCAGTTGTTTTTTTTTTGCTTTCACTAGAGACCCAGGAGTGCAGCCCCAGATCCTAACCACTCATGTTGTTGTTCCTGCTTTTGCTAAGTTGCTGTCTTCTGGTTCTCAACCCTTTCACCAATGGAAACTCTTTCTCCCTGTTCTACTCTATCCTAACCCCCTCATGATTTTGAACACCTTTGTCAAATTTCCTGTTAAATCTGCACTCCTCTAAAGTATTTACGTAACTGAAGTTCCTCATCCTTGACACTGTTCTTGTGAATCTTTTCTGCACCTTCTTTAACACCTTCCTTTAACATCTTTCCTAAAATATGGTGCCAGGCACTGGACACATTGCACCAGTTGAGGCTGAACCCATGTTTTCCACAGGTTTATCATTATTTCTTTGTTTTGTTTTAATTTTTCTTTAATACGTACAGTCAGGATACCATATGCTTTACTCAGTGTCTCCTCAAGTTGCCCTGCTCTTTCAATTATATGTACACATATTATTGGGAGTAATCAGAAGATCTTTTAAGTCCTGCTTGCTAGTTTCCTTCTTGCCTCCTTAACCGCTGTGTGTAGCTTCATCCTTCTTCTGCCCTTCTTGATGGTACCCATAAGTCTGCAATCACTGTTTTTTAATTCTCCCCCTCAGTGCTGTGCAGCTGCTCAGTGACAACCTTGACCATCGCACAACAGAATCAACACGCAATCCTGGAATTATATCTGCAGCCATAGAAATGCATGTCTGTTCTCCTAATTATTGAATTCACTGTTGCTATTGCTTTACAATCTTTCTCCTACTTCCTGATACATCAGACACTGACTGTGATGCTATGGACTGGGTCCTGGTTGCACACTCAGTGGGACCATCACTCTCACCAGTATATTTGGAAGCTTTACAGGTGAAGATAAAGAAGCAACAACTATATTGTGAAAGGTGAAGTGTTAAATTTATGAAACAATGAAATCTGTGAATCACATGTTTGTTTAAACATATAATGTACTGTGAAGGCCACATATGGGTTATGCAGTACTACTTGTACAGAGAAAGGTCACAGTCTTCCTCACTCCTTAATGATAAATGATGCACAGCATTGCCCCATATTGTGATAAAGCACTTGTTCCCTTCTGTGAGCAAGGTCCAGTAACCTGCAAACCAAAGCACTTGGTACTGAGTGCCAAGTCACTCATTCTACTGTTAAACATAATGGCTCCAAACTGTTCCACTTGAGTGCTTGTGTGCATTTCCAGCAATGCTTTTAAACTATTGCAGAGTACCTACAGACTGTAGCATTGTCCACTATAAATGCATGGCCAAACCAAGGACAGTGTGGTGAAAGCCGCAGGAAGAAAATCAGGTACACGGCTGGATTTTTACTAAAGGTGACACTGAAGTAGAGAACAAATTGCCATTTGGATAATGAAACTGACCATGCACAGGAACAGAACAGCATGTTTCTGGTGGCGTCTTGAAAACTTGGCTTAGACTTCTGAATTTTCTTTTATTCACTGGTGGGACACCGGTTGGCTAGCACTTATTGCCTGTCCCCGGTTGCCCTCAAGAAGGAGGTGGTGAGCTCTTGCAGATCCCTTCTGTAAGACATACGTTTAATATGTAATAATCATTAAAGAAATGTAAATTGTGAACAAGAGACCTAATGTGTGAGGAAATAGTATTGTTCCCTTACCGTTGCCTTCTTTGAAGAATTATTTTTACTACAGGTAGAGATTTTTGTTACTCTTGTCTAATCTACATTTACTAAAACTATCCAAAATGTCTCCTTGTTACACTTCAAAATGTCTTCACTTCTGTTGATATAGTCCCAGTGAACTCAATTGTTTTTTTAATCTCTTTTAGACTTTTTGGTGATGAGTCAGAACTGCAATTCTGGACTGTTGCTGCTCATTATTTATACAGCTTTTCAAAAGAAAAGGAACTAATCCCATCCAATGCAGTTCAAGAGAACCAAGCTAGTCCATTGGATATTTGCTATGACATACTCTGTGAGAATTCCTACTTCCAGGTAAGATTTCTTTTTAATTCAACCTGTTCAGACTTGTTTTGACACACCTCTGGAGTAGGTAGAACTTGAACCCAGGCTTTCTAACTCAGAGGTGTGGACACTACCACTGTGCTACAAAAGCCTCGTCTTACTTCCATGTAATACAAATTGTAGCTAACTGTTTCAGGTAGGGTAGTATTTTCTCTCTCCTGTGTCACATGAGTAACATCAATGTCCTGCAAGACACTAGTCCTGAAGTTGGTCTGGTTACAGATGTTTCTTAAAATATTTTATTCCCTGGTCCTTTGCCCATGTCCCCTCATTCCGTATCTGACTCTTCACTTGGGCATTGCCCATCCCTTATAAAAGCTTATTGAGACAGAGGGAGCAGGAGAGAGACTGAGTGCTAACAGTACCATAAACACAGTGTGGACCTGATCAGAGACACTAGCAGCTGTGGAAGAAGATAAAACAGAGATAGAGAACATTGGAAATAGGAACAGAAGGTGGCCCTTTGACTCCTCAAGCCTGCTGTGCCATCATCATGGCTGAACGTCTACCTCTACCTGAACTTCTGCCGTTTTTCTGCACCATTCTCATGCCCCCTAATATCTTTACTTTTTAGGAATCTATCACTCTCTAACATGAATAAATTCCATGATTAAAACTCCATAGCTCTTTGAGGCAGAGAATTCCAATACTTTGCCACCTTCTAACTGAAGACATTTCTCTTCATCTAAGAGCTAAGTGCCCTGTCTTGTATCCTGAGGCTACGTTCTAGATGCCATTGGCCGGGGGAAACCTGTTTGATGCAACTTTCTGATCTAGCCCTATAAGAATTTTGTATGTTTCAATGAGATTTTCACTCTTTCTTTTAAGCACTGAAGAATATAAGCTTATTTTCCTTAATCTCTCCTCAATGGACAATCCTGCCATTCTATGGATCAGAATGAATCTTTGTTGCAATCCCTTAATGGTAAGAACATTCTTCCTTAAGTAATGGGACCGAAACTGGACGTTATCCTTCAGGTGTGGTCTCATTAAAGCTCTCTACAATTTCAACAGAACTTCTTTATGCCTGCACTCAATTCTCTTGCAAGAAAAGCCTTCTTAATTGCTTGCTGTACCTACATTAAATTCATGCCTGTTATTCTCAGTCCCATGTGCACTAATTTTACTTAGTAACCTCCTGTGGGATGTTACTGAAACATTAAATACCACCACATCCATTGATTTTCCACCTTGTCTATACTGCTAGTAATATCCTCAAAAACCTTCCAACAGGTTGTCAGTTTTTTTTCCCTTTCATGTTATCTGCCCAATCCTACCGTTATTTTCTCAGTGCCCAATTATTACATCCTTTATAATAGATTCTGTAGATTGCCCCTGCTGTCCGGCTAATGAGTCTGTAGTTCTCCATTTTCTGTCACTCCTTTCTTTACAAGTAAGGCTACCGTTAACAACCTTCCAATCTACAGGAACTGTTTCAGAACCTATTGAATTTTAGAAGATGAACGCCAATGCATCTACTATCTCTACAGCCACTTCTACTTAACACTCTGGAATGTAGATAATTAAGACCGGTTGATTTGTCAGTCTCATTAATTTATTGGTTTCCTTTACCTACCCTACTATGTTCATCCTCAAAAAGCACTAATAAATTTCTGAAGTAGAATTTCCCTTTTGCAGAACCATGTTGACTTGTTCCAGTTATCCTGTGCATTGTTAAGGGTTTCTTAAGAATAGATTTCAGCACCTTCCTGATGTTGGATTAATTGGCCTGCAGTTCCCTGTTTTCTTTAGCAGTGCTCAGGGGCTATGTATTCAAATTCATCCATGACAGTGCATTGTATTTAAATTCCATCGATAAAATCTGGAATTGAAGTTTCAACCACCATTGATTGTAAATACAGTCTAATTTGTTGATGTGCTTTCGGGAAGTAAATCTGCTATCCGTAAGAAGAGAGTTAGGTCATTGACCCTGTTGAAGTTATTCTGCCATTCAAGGTGATCAAGATAATTTACAACCTAAATCACCTTTATCCCATAACCCGAAAGCTTCTGGCTATCTAAAATCCTATTGATCTCAGTTTTAAAATTAATGATTGATCTAGCACATGCTATTTTCAGAAGAGATCCAAACTTATACTCACCCTGCTTGATTTCGGTCCCTAAAGGCAGGTGGATGGAGTTCAGTGACATATTGACCATGATCACAGTGGCAAAACAAGACTCAAAGTTATGAATGGCCAATACCTGTACTGAAATTGTCTTATTTCCATTCCAATATGTGCATCTATTTATTTTATTCTTGAATTCAGTCTGTTTAAGCTTTATTGATTTTCTCTAGTATTAACAGTACAATTAATAAGGCTTTTGAAATGTTTAAACATTTAAACATTAACGTGTTTTATGCAATCTGCTTTCAAAATAAAAGTTGTTCAAGACTAGAAATGAAAGCAAAATGGGAAATATGTGGTAAGGTGCTTTAGGAATTGAGTACATAACTGAAATCTGTAACCCAGTCACCCAGTAATGTAAATCATTGATTATGATGAATTAAAATATATCTCTCATTGAACAAGTAGTTGTAGTGCCCCGTAGTGTTGATTGCAGGAATCGTATTATCATGATCGATCATTTCAAAGTTCTGGGCATCAAAATTAAATAATTCACACACCATGTAAAAATGGTACAAAGATGAAATATTCAAAATTAATTTGGCTAACAGGCTTTCAGAGTGCTTTGATTTAATCTTGCAAATGAAAGGACTTTGCATTTGTTGCAATTTAGAACACTAACCCTCAAAGCAGTGCCTCTGTATTACGATCATTTCTTGTTTCAGAATCAAGACATTTCTTGTAATGTTGCTGAAATGTAGCATTAGGAGCTTTGAAAAAATTGCAACATGAAGTTTTGATGTTTATTGAAAATTTTTGATTTTGTTACTTTTTAAATTTTTGTGGATTTTTTTCCTGCTTAAACTGGTCTGGGGGAATCCATGATATGGTTCAAAATAACACTGTTTAGAAATGCTGCAGATTCTGAAGCTAATAGCCGCTTTCTTCTGGTAATTCATCGTCATGCTAAAGATGAGCTTAGGTAATTTTCCCAAATTTGATCTCCCAGATAGTTACAGCAGGCTGAATCAACTGTAGCACAAGAAATATTTTTAAAAAGGCATTACAAAGGTTTTCTGTGGAATTTCGAGAGGAGAATTATGAATAAAGCAATCTGTTTCTGGCGTAGGTACAGTGCAATGGGATGCAGCAACATGACTCAGGAACATCCTGTATGATAAAAATTATTTATATAATTTTCACTTAATTTTATTCACCTAAATAAAATCCAGTTATTTCCTGTTCAGAGACTATCTTGCTTTGAAAACTCATTTTCTAAAGCAGTATTATGTGTTCTTGAAAAATGGTTTCATTATGGTTGTTCTTCATCTTTATGCAAGTTCTTTTAAAAGAATTTTTATTTATAGAGATCCCAGATTGAGCGGGTTAACCTGCAAGAGGCAAAAAGAACAACATATGATCACACAAAGAAATGTGCGGACCAGTTGCTGTTATTAGGCCAGGTAAGAAAACTGCGCCGTTTTGATCATCAAGGATGTAATGTTAGTTTATTCTTTGTAATAAACTGGCAAATGTCTAACATCTATTGCTAGTCAGAGAGCATTAATGTATAAATTCAAGGAAACTAAATGTGTAAGGAGAGTCACGATAAAATATATAGGAATTTTCTCTTGAAATAAGTTCCCTCTAATTTCTCCAGCCACTGCGTGTAGCTCCAAGGTCCATGCATGGCAGTAGCTAGAGAAACTGGAAGTGAATGAGTCAGCACACCGATCAGTGTGCGCAGCTTAGAGGGAGAGTTACTCCAGAATAGTACCTTCCGGCCGTTTCTCTAATTGTAATACTGGGAGAGTCCTTGGTGTTGGTGACAGTCATGTGGAGGTCTCACAGTTTTATCACAGTGAAGGTGTAACTAATAGAATGTGGCAAGGAAAATGTGATGCAGAAACCATTTGCAAGAGATGTACAATATTTACACGACTTTTAATACTTGACGTACATGACTCAAAGAGCTGTAAAACTATAGTCAGTGCCTGAAATGTTCAGTTCCTTAATATATAATATTTCTTTGCTCTAAGTCACTTGATCGATACGAACCAGCAGCATTATCATTGGAAAAGAAGGTGTAAACTTAAGCTACATCAAATGATACAGATTTTAAACTAATTTCAAACATTTAATTCTTATTTTTGAATTAACCTATTAAAGTTAACACTTCTGTTGTTAAGATGACTCCTATACAGAAAAGGAAATAATTGTATTGGTAAATAAAGAATATTTGCTTTTCACATGAAGAATTATGCCGACTCACCTTGTTATATCATCGTTTGTTTAACAGACGGACAGGGCAGTGCAACTCCTACTGGAAACAAGTGCAGAGAATCCAAGCTATTATTGTGACTCACTGAAAGCTTGTCTCGTTACTACCATTACCTCTTCAGGTCCTTCCCAGAGCACCATAAAACTGGTGGCTACTAACATGATAGCGAATGGAAAACTAGCAGGTAAACTGTCGATGAGACACATTCAATCTTGTACATTGAGTTACATAAATTTTATTTACATACTTTTCATATGTGGTAGTCTCCAGGTTACTGTTGACCATGTTTGCTTTCACTGTGGAGATTTGAATGGAATGTAAAGCAAGACTAAGATTTTTTAAGTGCCTTAGTGAATGAGTTTGCCAGTTCATTATTTTACTTAGAAAAGCAAGGAAAACTTGCCAGGTTCGACTTTGAAGTTTCTTTGATGCTAGACGAAGGGGGCGAACCCACAGGTTCTGTAAGTGTCAGAAAGACTGTTGAGGAGCCAGCCATGTTTTGCTCCCACACTGTTTGCAAGTTTGAAGCTTTCATGCAGTCCACGTGCTTGTTCAGGACCACCTCACCTAGCTGATTTTTGCACGTCATGGGACCTGACCTCATGTTAACCATGCGTCTTACCCATACAGGGCCATTTCTGTGGAAGGGTCACCGGACCCGAAACGTTAACTCTGTTTTCTCCTCCACAGATGCTGCCAGACCTGCTGAGCTTTTCCAGCAACTTTGTTTTTGTTCGAATTCTGTGGTTTTGGCACCAAACGTCGTCCCCTGAAGTAAACCATGTGTCTTGCTTAGAGGAGTGTTGTGTCTGGCATTGGCATTCCTGATGCCTTTTCACTCAACCTGCCCATGCATGCGCGCATGCACACATCATGCATGCACACACCACACACGCACGCACGCACCACAGGTCGAAAGGGTGTCAGGATGGAGGCCGGGTTATGTCTGAACATTCTGTAAAGACTTAAGCTACGGTACAGATGTGGGAGCTGGGGCACCTTTGATGGTCCTCACCTCATTTTCCAACAGAACCCGGCCTTGTTGATTCTGTAGCCCAGGTAGATCACTTGGGGTGCCTGGAGCATACATTTGTCTCTCCTAAGGCATATGCCTGCCTTGGAAGAACATTCTCTAAGTTCTGTTCGTTATCTTCCTAGTTGTTAGCACAGCATCCAGATAATTGGTGACCTGGGAGAACCTTGTAAAATGTTCTCCATCGCCCGCTGAAAAATGGCACAGGCTGATGATACCTCAAGTAGCAGTTCCATACATTGGTACAAGCTCTAATGGGTATTAATTGTAGCATACTTCTGGGAAAGCTCATCTAACCACAATTATAATAAGCAAATACGCATTGGCTTATGTCTTTGTGAAGGCTTTGTGAAGGATGGCTCCCCTGGCACCCCTGCCAGCTTTATGTATAAGTGCCCTATGCAAGGGATTGCATATTTCTTCAGCTGTGAGAAGTAGTTTACCATTTGTTTAAAATTCCCACAAAGGTGAACTGACCCGTCGGTCTTCACAATTGGTAAGACCGGTGCTGCCCATTCTGCAAACTGGACTGCTTTGATGATTCCTTCACTTTCCAGCCTCCTGATTTCTGCCTCTACTTTTCACTTAAGGCAAATGGCACTGGGCGGGTCTTGCAGAAGCATGGAATTGCTTCCTGGTCAATATGCAGGGTGGCCTTGGCTCTTTAATCCCTAGGCTTTCCTGAAAAACTTCTGAGTATTTAATTAGGACTTTGCTCAGACAGACATTTTCTAATTGAAAAATGTTGAGCCAATCAAAGTAAATCTTTCTCAACCAGTTTTGCCCTATTTGGCTTGAACCCGAATCTTTTACTACAATCAATGGTAACCTAACCAGCTGCTTCTTGTATGAGACTGGAACCAAAGTTGCACCCATAATCTATAAAGGATCCCTGGTATAGTTTCTTAGTCTGGCCAAGGTTTTATGCAAACATAAGGGTTGGAGTCCAGGGTGAATTTGGTTAAAGATGAGCTCAGCAATCACTGATACAGCCATGTCAGTGTCATCCTCCATTAGAATTGGGTAACTATTTGTTTACACATGTGTAGTACTTGACATTAGCCTGGTTTCCAGCTCTCAGAGTGAACAAAACCTCTGACATTCTTGTTTATATCTGTCAGCCAGAGCTCCCTGATTGGGGCTGCTAACCTGGCCCAATTAGAGAACTCATACTCTATGAGGTCCTCCTCACTGACTTCATTACAATCTTTTGCAATGTGGCGCAAATGAAGGCAGAAAAATTCATGAGAAGGTCAACAGATCAGTGTTGAGATGTCTGCAAATGTGAGCATTCCAGAATACAAGTCAAAGTCATTACTTAATGAGGAGTGTGGGTGTTAAAGAATAAAATTCTGTAGATGAATTAAATTGAACTGTAAGTTAAAGGGATGATCTGATGTTAGAACTAATAATACTCTAGATAATTATGAATAATGTAATAGGTGTGCTGGGAAGTTGAAAAGGAAATTAGAAGTGCAAAAATGTTACCTATGGAGATTATTAAGCTAACTACTGCTGTTTTTTTCAGGTGCTTCTCCATGGGAGGGACTGGTAGGGGTGGAAGAAGGAGAAATATTTGAATTGAATGAATCTGAAATGTTGCTGTTCCAGGAGAAAAAGTAATTTAGCCAAAGACTACTTCTGCCTGAAAGTGGCCCAAAGGAACGTACTTAATAGCTAGATCAGTTGCGTGCATGTGTTTTCTTTGGAATTTGCCATTGCAACATTTCATGTAATAGCATTGTTGAAAACGCAGTTCTACACTTGCATTGTAATGCACAAACATTTCAACCAAAATCCTATCAAAGAACATGTTGACAGTTTTTATGGCTAGCAGAAAGGAGACTTCTCCAGTCATCAACCTTGTTACACCCAAGACCACCTTTGTGCATTCACCTGTTACGCTGCCTAGATTCACCTTGCCCCACCCTCAGTCCACACCTGCATTTGTTTCTTTCTGTATTCCTATTAATCATAAATCAATTGTGCTTAAAGTTTGAGAAGAAACATCTTCTCTGCTATTACATCATTTGAAACCATCCATATATATTTTGTTATGTTATTAGAATAACTTATTTTGCTTTCTTTGAAGATAGTCTAAATATCTTAGTCACTCCTCCGAGCACAGAAGTGATGTACTGCAGATGCTAGAAATATGAAATAACCTTCCCTTCCCCTTTCAACATTCGAAAGGGACCATTCCCTCCATGACACCTGGTCTACTCCTCACTAATCCCAACACCCCACCCCTTCCCTCTATGTGTTCTGTACAATTACAGAAGATGGTGTTGCTCTTTATCTCCTTCATTCTAACTGTACAAGTCCCCAAAGACTCCTCCTTGATGAAACAAGAATTTACTCAGATTTTTTTCAGTTTGATGTACTTCCTTTGCTATTCAAATTGCAGCCTCCCCAGTGATAGGATGATCAAATGGAGATGGACTGCTTTGTGGAACACATCTATTCAGATCACGCATATTACCCCCAAGCTTACAGTCTGTTCATTTGCCCACCTGGGCCTCTTCCACAATTCCAGTGATGTTCAATTTAAGCTCAAGGAGCAGCATCTCATTTTTCGATTAGGCACTGCACATCCTTCCTTGCTCCACATTTGAATTCACTAATTTTCAGATATTAACCACCATTCCCATTTTGTTTCTATTTTTTCTCGTTTTTGGTTTTTCTCTCTTGTTTTCCTGTCTATTTGCTTTAAATTGGGGGCTGTTCATAAATCTTCTATTCACACCTCCTCTACCTTTTGTTTCTTATCCCATCAAGATTCAGTTTGGTTTTGCACTATCTACACTTTTACCATTCAATCTTTCCCGTCTTCTAACTATCATGCAGTTTTGTTTTTGTTTTTTCCACCACTTCGTGTTTCACTTGCTTTAAATCCATTACATCTCGAACATTTCTCAGTTGTAATGAAAAGCCATGGACCTAAAATGTTAACTCTTGCTGTCTCCTGGAGATCTGGATTTGCTATAGTTTTTCATTTCATTATTATGGTGAATCTAGGTCATGTGCTCTCTATGGCTTTAATGTCCTTTCTATAATGCATGAATTGGTGCATGAACCTATTCAAATGCTTTCTACAGGCCATTGGACAAAGAGAGCTGCCAGTAAAATTAAACATCATGCAGTTCTTGATTAAAAAAGATTCTAATATTTTAGAATGCTGTTGTCATGAGGTCATTCACAGTCAACAGAGTTAGTATAAATACTGATGCTTGTTACCATGGCTGAGAAAGGCCCAGGTAAATTTTTAATTTTGTTTTGCCTAAAACATTTGGCTCATGCTGAACCTTCAGACCTGAATGTTAACGTTCTGAGGAAGGATCACTCGACCTGAAACATTAACTCTGATATCTTTTCACAGATGCTGCCAGACCTGCCAAGCTTTTCCAGCAACTTCTGTTTTTGTTTCTGATTTACACCATCTGCAGTTCTTTTGGTTTTTCTTTGAGTATTTCTGTTTTGGTAATCCTTGCAGAAGGAGTCCAGCTGCTTTGTCTGATCGATAAAACTGCAGATGCTTGTCGATATTTGCAAACCTATGGAGAGTGGAATCGAGCTGCTTGGCTTGCAAAGGTATGTGCTTCATGATTCATTTTGGATACAGCAAAGCAAATATTTATGCTACAAGTTTTCTGTCCCTCCTCAAACCTCCTTTACCCCTTTGTTGCCTGCGACATCGTTGACCATCACTTCAGCATTTCCCCTCTGTCATTTCAACATCCATGACCCTGCTGTTACCTAGTTGTTTTTGTATATAGGCACCATATTATTTAAAGTGCCTTGCTTGTTCATTCACCATAGTCCTGCAAATTCTTTCTCTTCAGATAATTATCCAATTCCTTTTTGAAAGTGACAATTGAGTCTGCTTCCACCAGACACTCAGCCAGTGCATTCCAGACCTAATCATTCATTACATCAGTAGTTTGTCCCTTATGTCGCCTTTGGCCCTTTTACTATTCACCACAAATTGATGTCCTCTGGTTCTTGACCCCGAACAGTAACAGTTTCTCAGTATTTCTTCAACCCCTCATGATTTTGAACACATCTACCAAATTTCATTATAACACAGAATGGAGCTGGAGGAACACAGCAGGCCAGGCAGCATCAGAGAAACAGGAAAGCTGACGTTTCGGGTCGGGACCCTTCTTCAGAAAATGAAGAAGGATCCCGACCCGAAACGTCAACTTTCCTGCTGCTCTGATGTTGCCTGGCCTGCTGTATTCCTCCAGCTCCACACTGTGTTATCTCAAACTCCAGCATTGGCAGTTCTTACTATCTCTACCAAATTTCATTGCAGCCTTCTCTTCTCAAGGGAGGAGAGCTCAGGTTCTTTTACCCATCCATGTAACAGAGGTTTCCTCATCGCTGGAACCATTCTTGTAAATCTTTTCTGCACCCTAATGGACTTCACATTCTTTCTAAAGAGCAACACTGAAGTGAACACACTACTCCAGTTGACGCTTGACCAGTATTTTATTAAGTTGCAACATAACTTACTTGCTTTTGTCCTCTATACCACTATTTTTAAGAAAACAGAACTTCATATGTCTTACTAACAGCTTTCTTAACCTGCCCTGTCCATTCAGTTGTCTGTAACATAGATCTCCAGGTTAATCTCTTTCTGCAGCTCCTTTAGAATGACATCCTTTATGTTATGTTGCCTGCCTTGGTTCTTTCTAATGACATATATCACTTCACACTTCTCTGCTGATGATATGCTGTTGTATCTGTCTATATCCTCCTTCAAACTAAAAGAAGTTGTGATACAGTTTAAATGCTGTTTGAATATTTCAGATTTGGATGCATCAATCATTTCTTCGATTTTAATATCAACAGACCAGAAGCAATTTTTTTTTATTCCTTAGCCAAGGCCTAGATGCCATGATGTTGACCACTTCAACCTTCCATTTGCCACCTCAAATGAAGTCACATGTTGCAGACCCTTGACATTCTGCTAAATGTTGAGCTCAGCTTCATTCTTCGTATTTGCTTCTTCATTAAATTTTCTTTCGTCCATCTCAAACAGCACCCACCTCTACATTTATTTCCCTGTCTAAATCTTAGACCATGCCTCATTCATCTCAAAACTTGACTTTGCTTGCCTATTCTAACCAGTGAACCTATTGCAATCCTTGCCTAGCTTCGATTTATCCAAAATTCCAGAAGTCCTGCAGTTCTATCAACCACAAACTCTACTAGTTCTCAATGCCCTAGTTAACACCAAAGTGTTTGACCTCGCTTAAAAGTCTAGCAGTGCTGACATGACAGGCTGAATGGCCTCATACTGCACCATCACAATTCTGTAATGTCCTTCTGAGCCCATGCTTTCTTCATGTCGATGTACACTTTTCTTTCATGCACAAATCCTCCACTCCAATCTTTTCACTTAGAAATGCTGACGCATTTTTCTTTTTAGTTCTAATAGTAGAAGTGCTCCATTCACAGGCAAGATTCTGTTCCCTTCCAAGGGAGGCTCATTATCTGCTGATGCTTCATCCTGAACTGTTATTACCACTCACTCTCAGGTACACGATAGGGAGTTAGGTATTAAGTCTACCTCAGCCAGAACAGAAACAATCCCACGCTGTTAACATTATTCCACATACTAGCTGTCTAGTCCACTGAGCTTAATCACATCCTCAAGATGTGATCGTACACTTTTAATTTAAATAGTTCCATCTGAGGTAGCAGCGGCAACCGCAGCCAGAACACGGCTTCTCCCAGTGATCGATTCGAGACTTGCAAGTTGTACTCTTGTATTCCTATACTTGAGTGCACGTGACAATAAAATAGCTAAATCTAATTAAAGATGTTCAATGTCATTTGTTAGTCAGCTAGGTGTCACTGACGGTCCAACACAAAAAGTATCTAATAAACTCAGGGAATGCTGGGAAGATTCAGCAGGCTAGGCCACATTGCTGGAGAGAGAACCCATGTTAATATTTCAGGTTGATGACCTTATACCAAAAGCTCTGTTTCTCTCATCACAAGATGCAGCATGACCAGCTGAGTATTTCCAGCATTTTCACATTTCCAACAACGCTGCAGTATTTTGTTTTTGGCCAAAGTCTCTCTTTATTTGATTACTCTAACAAACCAGATGGTTTAAATGATTTACTGATTTCAAAACCATAGGATGTAGGAGCAGAATTAGGCCCCTCAGCCCATCAAGTTTGCTTTGGCATTTGATCATGGCTGATAAAACAGGTACCAAACAACTTTTAATGAAAGTTCTACTCAGAGTCCAGTGACTGAACAAAAGACAAAAGACTTGATCACAGATTTATTTAATTAATAAATTAATTAATTCAGGGCATGTTTGTATGCAAACAGCAAAGTGCCTTGCCTATGACTAGAGACCCATAAAACTTGTTACACATTCGTAGGAATCTGAAACACAATCTTCAAATATTTATTCTGTTAATATAGAATGTCTGCTTTTTCATTTTGGTGCTTGTACCAAGGAACATTGAAAAATTGTTTTTTTATAAATTTAAATACAGTATATTTTGTCCAAGATTATATATTACTGTGGTCATTTAGTCGAGAGAAGTAATGCATGTCATAATTAATGGAGAAGATGACTTGTATTTTAGGAAGATGGAAAATGTAATCCTGAACTTGTATAGAAAACAGCAACAGAATGCACTTCGTACTAATTTCCTGTAATTAACATAACTTCACACACTAGCATATGAACTTATGAAATCCTCTTATGAAATGTTTACATGGATTATCTCTCCAGCAATCCCACTATTTTAATTACTTTTAAAATAAATGGGTTGGCCCTTTGAATTCCTTTTGAAAATGTTAAGTCTATATATGCTAATATTTGAAAAGTCAAATTTTTAAAGCATAATTGTGTGTTTAATATTGATATTTAATATTGATATTATTTTAATAAATATAATCATTTATTAATATTATGAAAGCTACTGAGAATTTATTGCAGATTGCAAATACTGATTTATTCATGAGTAAATGAATCTATTTTCTATTTAACTATAACTATAGTTTTATTCACATCTGCCAAAGTTTCATATCTCAGTAAATTGTCTAATCTTAAAAGTACCACATTCATGTAAATGCCATGTTATCATCTTGAATTAAATATTGAGAAGGTCAAAGCAGTGACCTTCAGCCCAATGTGCTAACTCTGTTCCCTAGGTATAGACTCCATCCCTTGCTCTGGTAACTGTCTGAACCTCAGCAGACTGTTTGAAATGTTATCATCATATTTGACTTCAAGATGAATTTCTGTCTAAATATCATAACATTACTAAAACCACCTTCTCTGCCACACTTCATAACATCCTCTGACACTACTCCCGCATCCTCATGCATGCCTTTCGTTACCTGTAGACTTGACTATTGCAACTAACTTTGGGCTGGCCTCCCATATTGTTCTTCAGGTCGCATCCTCAATTACTCAAGAGGCGCCATAGTTTTTACTATGTGGCAGAGCAAGACACAGGCCCCAAGTCAACCTCAGGCTCAGCAGGGTTCGAATCCCCACACTGTCGGTGTTTTTCTGTACCGCATGCTAGCCATCTTGCTAACTGCACTCCATCATCCCACATTATATTCTACATAAATTTCAGGTCATCCAAATCTCTGCTACTCATGTACTTATGTGCCAAATCATGCTATCAACCTATCAACCTATCACTCTGTGCCCATTCATCTACATTGTCTCACAGCCCAGCAACAAGGTTTTAATTTCTTATCCTTTTGAATCTGTCCACACCTCTCCCCTCCTTATCTCTGTAACCTCTTCTAGTCCCATAACGTTGGATATCTGTGCTTATCCAGTTCTTTTGAACATGGTGAGTCTAAGTATTTGTACCTTAAGCTCTAGAATTCCTGTTCTCAGCCTATACCACTCTTTTCTCCTTTAAGGTGTTCTTTAAAATCCATCTCTTTGACAAAGCTTTTGACCATCTGCCCTAATATGTATGACTTCGTGTCAAATATTGCTTTAGGCTGCTTCTGTGAAATGTTTTTATGTTAAGGGCCTTATCTAAATACAGTTTACGGGTTGGCTAGCTCAGTTGGCTGGATAGTTAGTTTGTGTAGCAAAGTTTTGCCAGTAGTGTGGGTTCAATTCCTGCACTGGCTGAGGTTATCATGAAGTAGTTTCCTTCTCAACCTCTCCCCTCGCCTGAGGCACTGTGACTTTCAAGCTGAAATGCAACCTGTCATCTCCATTGTGAGAGCAACCACTATGGTCTGGTAAGATAAGGTGACTTTACACATACAAGTTACTTTCAATGTACTGTGCATCCTTTTGTCAAGGTAATCAGAGATAAAGACCAGAAAATTTTTATCATTCATTCTATTTCTTTAATAAAGGTCCGTCTAAACGCGGAAGAGTGTGCAGAAGTACTGAAACGCTGGGTAGATCATCTGTGTTCGCCTCAGGTAAACCAGAAGTCAAAGGCTATCTTAGTCCTCCTTTCACTGGGCTGCTTTAGCAAAGTTGCAGAAATGTTATACAGGTAAGAAATTTGGCTTTCGTCAAAACAAATTTGATTGTGTGCCTGTGTATTTATTGAGAAAACTGGTTGATCGAGGAGTATTGCACATGGCCAAGGTGCTTGGGTTTATGAGAGAGAATTGAAACAATAAATTCAGATCAATACAATATTAATTATTGTAAAGAACTTATGGATTCATTTCTGCTTTTTTTTAAAGTGATTAAATACTTTAATCTCCTTGGGCCAAAGAAGGTTAAGAGGAGATTTGATAGTTGTTCAAGTGTTTTGGTAGTTAACAGACTAAAAGTGTCTGCAGTGGCAGAAATATCAGTAACCAGATGGCACAAGTTTAAAATGTTTGGCAGAAGAATTAAAAGTGAAATGTTGAAACATTTATTTAGTGCAATATGTTGTCATAAGCTTGAATAAGCTGGAATGAACTGCTTGAGATGTAGTGGAAGCAAATTTAATTATAACTCTCAAAAGGAAAGGGCGTAAATAATTAGGAAAGAGACATTTTTTGTGGTACGGGGAAGGAACAGAATATGGAACTAATTAGATCTTTACATCAGCTCACAGAGATATATTGGGTAAAATCACCACTTCTTGTGCTGTCCCATTCTATTATTATATCATTTAAATGCAAAAGTATCTTTATTAATATATGTAACTAAATTATGAAGTTTATCAGGTTAATTAAAGATACGGAATAATGTACTGACTAATTTTGTTCTTATTGTGGTAGCAGCAGTGTGTACCATTTACAAGATGCACTCCTTCATTAACACCTTCCAATCCTATTGACCTGTACAATCTAGAGGGACGAAGACAACAGATGCATGGGAACAACCTTCTTGAGGGCATTTAGAGATGGTCATTAGGTGGTGGCCTGGCCAGTAATGTCCACATCCTGTGGACGAACAAATTGTAAACAAAACTTGATCCAAAAATAATAACTAAAATTGTTGTAACTGATAAAAACCAAAAGAACTGCAGATGCTGTAAATCAGGATCAAAAACAAAAGTTGCTGGAAAAGCTCAGCAGGTCTGGCAGCATCCAGACCCGAAATGTTAACTCTGATTTTTTCTTCACAGATGCTGCCAGACCTGCTGAGCTTTTCCAGCAACTTCTGTTGATGTAACTGATGCTGCTTATGGCCATAATCAGGAGGGTTTTGTAGGTATTTCTTGTGAAAGCCTCTTCTGAGGCACTACCAGAGCCTGACCTGTGCAAACTTGCACTTGGCTGGCAAGGAATAAGCAAAGAATTGAAAGCAACTGAAAGACAGCTGATGGTGAAAAGCAAGTGTGTAAAATAGGTGTAGAGACACAATGACATTCAAATACGCAGAGGTTGCAAAAGCTAGCTCTGGAAGGCAGGTGACTGTGTGCATATGCACATGATTGTGAAAGAGCACTTATTAATAAACTCCTGAATATTGGGAGAGGCAACATTAAGCTTTTGAGAGAGAGGAGATTCTGCAGATTGATGAGCTACAACTAGACTTTTGGAATTGTGATTTTATAAAATTGATTTTTAAGTATTAATTTTTTACATTTTTAAATATTTCAGTGTTCTTCCTGTTTGTAACTTGGAAGCTATATCTGCCAGAAATATCAACATGTACATTGTTTCTCTACGTTTCAGCATGCGATATTTTGACCGAGCTGCACTGTTCTTGGAAGCTTGTCTGAACTATGGAGTTATGGAAATAAATGAAAAAACAAATATCCTTTTTAATTTGAATGATTCAAAATTAATATTTCTGCCATAGAATCATTGTGTCACTAGTACAACCATGAAACTTTCACCCATTTGTGTCTTTTATGACTGAATTGCAAACTGAGAATGACTGTTCATTCCAACTTGATCACCAAATGAAAAGTCAATTACAATGTCCAACATTTTAAATTATTTCAAGATTTTTTTCCTCCCCTCTCCTGTTCATCACACTTCCTGCACAGAAAAACTGCTTTACAGGAACTTGTTTTTAAGAGTTTTAATTTGTGCCTCCTTGTCCCATTTATTGAAATAATATATACCTTTTTGGTAACATTTGCTATTTTACATAACTCTGTTCGGTCTCCTTGGATGATTCCTTTTGGGAATGTATCTCGTTTCCCGGATGTATTATTGTTTGGCATTACAAATCTAGGTCTGCTGTAAACATTCTTTGATTAATTGACTATATTCACTTGTGTCACTTGTTCTCATAAACAGTCTATTTTACTGTAATGGGTATTGGCTGTCACTGCCCTACACCTATTTTCATGATTGCATAATCTTAATTGGATATTTTTGTATTTTACTCAAGTCCTTCAGTCCTTTCAGACGTGGTTCAAGCAAGCAACCACTTGATGAAATACGTAAGCTGTGCATAAAATATATTTTTCAGGAAGTATACATTGTATGTTCATCCAGTACGCAGTGGAGATGGAGAGGTAGGACATTTTTCTACTTTGCAGTTGTATCAAACGTGGTAGAGATTCTGTGCACAGAAAGCACCCGACTCCATACCAATGCTTTATTTAAAACTCTTTCTCCAGTTGGTCTGTGTACATGTGTTAATGTGATAATTCATTTTTACTGTGAATTATCTCTCAAATTTTCTATTCATTAAGATTTTCCCATGTTTAATAAATTAGCATTGAGTTTTTTTTTTAGTATATTTTACCCTCAAAAAGTAAAACTGTTGAAATTAAATTGGTTACGTCCAAGTGAGATATAATTTGTTATGTTCTTGTTTTAAGTTTCTGTGAGTACAAAGGTTTAACCTCAACCTCTGCATGATTACCACATTACAGCATGTTGCCATTTTCCAAACTATGTATTGTATCTACATATCTCATCATATTTCTCAAAGTTTAAGTGCCTGATTTGCACCAAGTCATAAGGAGACTTATGTTCAAGGCTCATAACTTGTACTGGAATTACAGATTCACCTTTACTGATTAGTTTTATTTAAGATCCTCAGTACTAGCTTTCATGCATCTTGGCTTTGTTCACATTGAAGTTCCAAAATGATTTGAACATAATTGCTTCACCCTGTCCCTCACAATATAGTTTTTGTATGTCTCTGTTGTAAATTTGGAAACCCAAGTATTGCAAATTTACCCTGTTACATAAAAGTGAGTTTTGAACTGCATTCACTTTATTGTGAGAGAAGTTTTTATTTCTAAGGGTCGTTAGAGCTTGATATCCTATTCCAAAGTAACCAATCAGATAAAGGCAGTAGCATAATTGATTAGGCAATCTATTATTTTTAAAGGAAGGCTATAAAAGGAAATGAGGGAAAAGGCAAGAAATTGGGATTAAATATTTCTAGTTGCAGATCCAATACAGGTATATTGGGCTTCCTTCTATGCTGTAACTTCTATGATTCAATAAAATGAAAAGTAGTAAACCGTGAACTATTGTTGAATGGAAAAAAGGTTCTTTAATAATGTGTTTGTAGAGTTACCCAAAATCTAGCACATTGTTGTGTGCTGGTTGGATTACTGCATGTAAATTAAGAACTTTAGAACTGATTCCCAAAACACAGCATTTTGAGTGCCACAACTTGGTTGTATCTTGATAAACTTCTGCTTAAAGAAAAACATAGGATAAGTTCATAATTATCTATATAGGATTATAGTGTTGATTTAAGTGTGTCGACAGAAAATATTTCCTAATCATAATTATTTTTAGAATAACATCTTGAATACATGTTTGATGATCAATGCTAAAGAAGTGTTGCACAATACTGATAGTGCTTTAAAAGGATTTTCCTTAATAAGAATTCACAGAAACTTTGCCACGCAGTGTATGCAGATTATGCAAGGTACTTAAAGATGCTGAATTTACAGGAAGGGGCAGTTCTGTTTGCCACAAAAGCAGGTGATGCTGGAGCTGAACTGCTTAAGGACTTGCAGCACAGCAAAGAAGATAAACCAATTTCATGACTTGTAACTGTTAATCTTGAAATTAAAATGGCCTCCGCAGTTTCAAAGTTTAATTGAACTAGTTGGCGACTAACGTAGAGCACTTTGAATATTGTGTTGCTGTCTCCAGTTGTGCAGTCTGAACAAACTACATTCCAGTTGTTATTCCTCAGTGAAAATCGGCAAAAAAAAAACTTGAATGAAAATATCTCACTCTAATGCTTTCTAGTATGTGTAGACTTTTGATACAGATTTGCCTTTCTTTGTGTATGACTCTCACATTAATGAAAAGTCTGTATAAATTCCTCTGACTAATATAACCTTAGCTGGAACATTTTTAAGCTCCCATTGACAGTCACAGAGAAGGAAATTGATCAGTAATTTTTGGCAGGATTTGTTTTAAATACAGGAGATCATTTCTGTGATTAGACAAGAGATGTGGACAGTCTATGTGATTAGAATTGCACTTAAGTCACATTGTTTAACAATATACAAATAATTTTGTTTGTTGCTTGAAAAACTAAATTTATTCAAATGTGAAATGTGCACAAGCAATTTATAAAATGAGGTATAAAACATCACAACTGCACTTTGCATATAATTCAGTGTTTAGTTTGCAGTGAAATGCTGATTCTAAAATGTATTAAGGACATGAAACAGAGCTACAATGTGAAGATTCCACATTCAACACGAGGTGGACACAGAAGCAGATGGTGACAATACCACAGAAATGCAACAAGCAGGAGAGTGGGATGTTGGTGGATGAAATAGTCAGATATGAGAAGACCACTCTAAAACAGCATGATGTCGGTGACATTGACTAGGAGTCACCTTGAGCATGGAATTCCTCTCATCTCAAGATAAGATAGGAAAGGGAAGAGGATACTGGGAAATTATATTAACATTACCCAGTGGCACCCAGTATCATACTCAACATCTAATAAAATATTTTTTAGTCTGCAGTGTTGATGAATTGAGTTCAACTTTGTCTACAGGTAATCTATCCAGTCCTATGTTATACATGATGTATATTAATACAGATCATAACTGGTTTAAATATTTTCCTTTGTTGCCATTATAGGTTATTCCGACAAATGGGAAAGACAGGCCCACCTATTTAACGTGAAACTGAATGATCCCTCACATCTTGTGCAATTTAAGTCCCACACAAGTACCCCAAGGTGCCCCATTTTGATTCTTTGTTTTTATTTTAGGGGAAAAATATTGACTTGTAAAGCACTTTTGTAATCTCGAATATCACAAAGCACTTGCACAGCCAATAAATTACTTCTGAGTCTCAAATTACAATGCAACTAAATGTAGCAGCCAAGATGCGCATGAGAAGATCCTGCAAACAGCAATGTGATGAATGACCAGGGAATCTCTTCCGTGTGTGTGTGCGTGCGCACGCTTGCTTTGGAAAGTGTCATGGGATCTTTATGTCTATCTAAGAGGACAGATGGGACCTTGCTTTAAAATCTAACCTAAATAATGAATCTTCCCATAAGGCAGCTGCCGTCAGTGTTACACTGAACCTATAGTGCATGTGCTATCTCTGAGCTAAGGCTAACACCCTTACCCTCTTAATGTGCAATTTGCTATATCGTCCTTTCCTGGCACAATATAAGCATCTTTACATATCCACCTGACAAAACGTTGCATTTAAATAATACATATTATGCCCTCAGTCAGTATATGCACCCATCTCATTGTGTCTGCTCCATCACAAGTGAAATATAACGTACTGCAGCTTTCGATCTGTATGACCTATGTACTATTTTGCTTATTCTTTTGCAGGTCAAATATGTTTGACCTACAGCAAATCATTATTATGCAAGTTGTTCTTCTTATTGCCTTGTTAAGTGATAATAAGGGTGAAAATATGACTCGTGGTCTTTTAGTTTTAGATGGATCATTGAGGGAATTGTGTGGTGCAGTGGTAATGCAGTGGTCAGGAGAACTAGGTCCATGCCCCACCTGCTCCAGCGGTGTGTCATAGCATCTCTGAGCAGATTGACTGGAAGATCTGTCAGAAGGATCATTGACAATGGTACTTTAATCATCAAGTACCTGTGGAAAATAAACAGGTGTGGCAGCCACATTGTATACAAAGGGTTTGACTCTACAACCTTCTTTGAGTCCATACATTGGGTGGGATCAAGTGAAATGTCAAGTGAAAGTTGGAGGTTGGAGTTCATTGTCTTCCTGTCTTAATGGTGTTCTTCCAGTGGTGGAGGAGAGCCCTTCTGCGCAGAAAATAAATTGTTTGTTTAAGCGGCTCATTACAGACCTGTTCCTGCTGCCTGTGGCATTTTACCAGCAGTAGGTGAGGCCCTCAGACACATGTAGAAATCTTCTGGCGAACCCTTGCGACCTCTCAGCAGGCTTGATGTCAAGGACGGGATCTGCGGTGGAGATCATAATTAGGAAGTCTATGGCTCAAGGAGGCTGTCCTTAGGGTAATGACTCCCATGCAGCAACACTGTCCCTATGGATTACATGACTGGCTCCATCAACCCCAGTTCTATTCACTGTGTTACAAGTGTGGCACCCATCACTGCATCTATTGGCTTGGTTCATTTCCAGTGGAACAGTGGCACTCCCAAGACTGCCTGTCCTCTAATTGACTGACAGCTCTGGAGGCTGCCTTTATCACTGCATGGCAGCTAATTTAGGAAATGATGGTTGTTATGTGATCCCCTCTTAAGACTGAGGTCCAGGAGGGGGGCCTGAAGGTCCCAGCTTTCTGAGGTCACCAGAGTCCTTGCTTCTCTGACAAACATCAGTGCAAGATCATGTGTGCAGCATTATAATAAATACTGAGTAACTTTTTGATACTTCACCAAAGAAATTGTACTTCTCTACCTTCATACCTCTGTGCAAATTCTGATGTGTTTTTGTTGTTTTTTTATTCCATAAAGTACAAATATAGAACACCATCATCTCAGGGCAACTAGAAAGTGATCCTAGCCACCTTTGCATATGTGCCTTTTTTAAAAAAAATTCCTCCTCCCAGATTATGTTGTTTGTGGTAGCTGAGCAATTGCATGAGGAGATGCGATGTATGAAGGCTTGCAAGCATTCTGCAGATTCTTTATCACAAAATGTGACATATGACCAGTGTGTTCCACCTAACTATTTTGTACTCGTGCACGTCATTCTGAACATGATTACAAAACCTCAATTGCACTTTTCAGCAGTAATGAAAATGAGTAGTCATACTCTGATAGGGATGCATATATGGATCCAAACCAGGAGTTTTTGGTTTTATCATTTATTCATCTGCTCCACTTCTGCCATTGGTGATCAGACACATCCAGACTCTCAGCGCACTGTCTTCATGTGTCATTTGGAAAGTATACAAATTCTTGTCTGTTGGATCATTCTTGACGGTCAATCAAGCAAGCTTTTTGTTCCCTGTCTCCACTTTTTTAAAAATCCTGCCTGATTTTTTTTCTTCCCTATTATGTATCCTAGCAACAGCAAGTGAACCTTTAAATTTGAGCCAGTCAGATAAAATGGAAGAATTGACAACCCTACACGTTGAACCATTTCTTCCAAATTAAATTCATTAATTCTGCATATGTAAAGAATTAATTGCAGTGACACAACAGTACAAAGTAAACAATGGCCTCAAACTGAGAGATAGCAAGAACTGCGATAACAGTGTGGAGCTGGAGGAACACAGCAGGCCAGGCAGCATCAAGGAGCGGGAAAGTTGACATTTTGGGTCAGGACCCCATTTCTGAAGAAGGGTCCTGACCTGAAATGTCAGCTTTCCCGCTCCTCTGATGCCGCCTGGCCTGCTGTGCTCCTCTCCATACTGTTATCCATGGCCTCAAATTGGCCTGCTTTTCAAAAATCATCTGCTCAACAAAATATTTCTTCAAGATCACAGGATTTGCTTGAAATCATTTGATGTCTTTAGTGTTGTGCTTTCTCAACCAAAAGTAATTTCTCTGTGAGCAGACCTTTCTGTTCTCTGTGGTAACTAGTTTACAGTGCAGCATGGACAATTAGTATGTTCTCAAGTGAATCTTGGATTTCATCATAAATTGCTAAATAATCTGTTGCAGGTTTATTGGAATACTGTGTGCACTGTCACCAATTTCACCTGACTCAAAAAGAATTTAACCAAGGCAACATTAAAAGCAAGGAACTGGAGTAAACATATTTAATAATCATCGCAGTGCCCCTTGAAAATTAACTCCAATGTAGTTTGGTAGATCCTGAATGATTTCACTCAGCTACTCCAACCTTAAATATAAGCTTTTCTGTAATTCTGATTACCATATAATTCAGAAGTTACTGTCGGGGCTCATGTCAGACTAACTGTGTCATCATTGTCTCTGTCAGAATTGTTGCTGTACGAACAGTGTCTGTGTTGCATGCTGTATGTTTAATGATACATTAGTGTTATTTATTTTGAACAATCATCTAATATCTGACAGAAAGAGTTTGATCTTACATTGTCCGAAGCAAGCTGAAATGGCACAAAAAAGTTAATAGAGGTTGAGAGCCGAAGAGGTAGAAAATTTTGAAAATGTGTTCTAAAAAGTCACAGCACTTTCAGTAAATTGTGATTGTCTTTTGCGTTTTGTGATAGTTTTCCATTGCTCATGTCTGTAGTACTTTACAACAGGCCATATAATTATATATGTAGCACTTACATGTGCAAGAGGTAATGTGAGGACAAACTTTTTTATGCAGTCGTTAGCTATGATCTGGGAACTGCAAGATTACAGAAAGAATTTGGATGGGCACTTAATGCAAATGAATTTGCAGATCCACAGAGATAGAGCAAGGCAATGGGTCTGATTGGTTTACAGAGTGCTGACATGAGCAATAATGACTCTCTGACTGTACTTCCATGACAAGCTTCTGATAATGCTGCTGTGCATTGGCTAAACTGGTTAAAATGTAGGATCAGTAAGTTAGAAACTATACAGCTGAGGTAAAGATCTTCAACAATGCATATGATTTTTCAGGTGGTTTATTAAATCCCCATTTCTCACAAAGTAATGATCAGACCTAATTTTCTGATTGGTTTTGTAATTCAAGTCATGTTTATGAAAATAAGTATGGAAAATGTTGGGCTGAGTGACCATCTCAACCAATGACAGGTAAGCCATATGGAAGTTGTTCAGTGTTTCTTTTATTCCCTGATCATTTCATGCTACACAAATTCACATCAGAAACTATGCTGAGAATGCCACCTCAGCTCAAGGAATTGTTTTTCTAGTTTTTTTTCGATTGCTCACACCCTGCACCAGAGCTTCCCAAACCTTTCTGACCATGACCCTAATTTCAAGCTTAAAAATTGTGATCCGTGAGAAATCTCAGGTGAGGTCTGGGGGCAGCTATGAGAGTAAGGGACTGTTAGAACTTGCTCAGACCTCACACTCTCAAAATTTCTGCTGGTGCTGAGGCTCCCATGTTGTGAATCCCTGTCCTGCACTCTCCATTGATTGACACAGGACAGTTCTACATTATTTTACCACGTGTAGATTGATTGATGGGGTGATGTGGAATAACCATGACAGATTTTTGTATCATTGTGACAACATCTTGATAATAATGACTGCTAGTACTAACTTCAAAAATATTTTTATCTTTTATGAAATTCAAAAATGTAGGAAATCCCAAGCAAGTTGCAGAAAGTATGAGCGATATTCCAGGTTAGGCAACATTTTTGGATAATGTCACATGATCAAATTGGTCAATTGCTTTGTAAGGAAGTGTACTCCACATTTCTTTGAAAAGACTGATTTTACCCCCACTGTTATGCTTTTTATCTTATGCTTGGATGCACATTTCAGATGCAAGCTCGACTAATATTTAGAATACACATCTTAAAAGCACAATACTTGCTTTACCATTATTTGTGAATTTGATTAAGAATTTCACTGATTTAATAATTTTTCACAAAAAGGTGTCTTTATTCTCAAACAACGTCAGATCT